GCCGCCGGCAGACTTTCCTACTCTTTAAGAAAGAGGTGTGGCCGAGAGATTTGTTCTCTGAGATGACGGCCAAGGACTCCAGGTGGTCAACGGATTAAAAATCTGGGTCCAGATGAAGCAAATTCAGGATTCTTACTGGAAATTAAAAAAAGGAAACCAAGATAGTGAGAATTAGCCCATTTGGAAAACATTGTAAGGGTGGTTGTTTTGTGTCTTAAAAGTAGACAGCGTGAAGGGGCGAGGAAAGGGAGCAGTTTGACAAACACGCACAGGGTCCTTCCAGTGAGAGTTCAGAACCGTGGACAGTGACCTACCTTCTGCTTTGCAAGAGGGATTTGCTGTGAACAGCAGACTTTTCTCTTTTGAAAGCAGAAACCACCGGATGCCTGGATTTTTTTTATACCACGATTTATTTTTTAATTTACTAATTTCCCAAATACTAAGCAAGTGCCCTGCATGTGTCAAACACTGTGACAAGATGCTGAGGTTTTGTCATTGCAAATGCATAATCTTTGCTTTCAAATGCTGATAGACCATATATCCTTCTACATTTTGCCAGTAAAATATTATAATACTTCATTTCTTTCCTTTCAGCCTGCATTTTTACCTATTTGCCTTTGGCACTTTCAAAGAATATTTAAATATATTCTCTTCCACTAAGTGCTTTCAATTAAAAAATAAAAAAAAACCTCATATAAGAGCATTTGTTAATTTAAAAATCATATAGCTTGAATGTATTGATTGCTTGCCATATGTCAGGCATTACTAGTCCCTTACATAAATTATCTCATTTTTAATCTTTATAACATCCCATCTTAGTCTGTGCTGTAGTAACAAAATACTGTAGACTGGGTAATTTATAAACAATGGAAGTTTATTTTTCAGAGTCTGGAGGTGAGGAAACTCAAGATTAAAGTACCAGCATTCAGTATCTCATGAAAACCTCCTTTCTGAGTCCTTGCATGGCAGACGGGGTGAATGCCACATCCTCACAAAGTTGAAGGCAGAAGAGCAAAAAGGGCCTAAGCTCCTTCTCTCCAGCCCTTTGTAGAGCATTCCTAAGAGCAGGTTCATTCATAAGAGCAGATGCACTCACAAAAGCAGATCCCTCATGACTTAATCAGTTCTCCATAAGCCCTATCTGTTAGTATCACCATAGTGGTGATTCCATTTCAACTGACTTCTGGAGCAGATGCATTCAAGTCATAGTTCATTTTATGGGGTAAATATAGTTATTACTTACCTTTTTATGGATAATAAATCAAGCCCAGAGTAATTAATTGCCCAAGACCTCACAGCTACTCGCTAATGGTGTAAAGACTACTGTTGGACAGTGTCAACTCAAAAGTCATACCACACCAGCTGCCTTCATGCTTTGTAAAATAAGAAGTATCATTTTCAGGAGCTTTTCGTGTGCTTTGAGAGAGCAGAAGTACACGTCTTGACACAAGTCAGTCAAAGTTGAGATGAACATGTAAAGTTGATAGTGCTGTTTAGAGCCTTACTACCTTAGAACTGAGAGAAGAAAAAAGATTCTGAAAATTAGGAGTAATTGAAAACCTTTTTAATCAAAGAAATTAAGTGCCTGTTAGATGCCAATTCTGTTTTTGGCAGGTGGAACATGGGAATGAATTCAAGAGTTCCCCAACATTTTTTGAGTCCATACTAGAAGAACTGTAATTTTTGGAGTCTTTTCTAGCATGAACTTGGATTTTTTTTCCTCAGAAATCCTCCATTTTAATCCAGAAAATAACTCAGTAATAATAGTAATGTTTTAAGTAATTTTCTTCAAATTGGAGCAAATTCTGATTTCACTTTTTATTGAGGTATTTTATTTCATCAAACACACACACACACCCACCACACACACACACACACACTAGAAAAAATAAAATAAAAACCCCTGAAGCTAGGAAATATTTACTCTTAGCATTTTTTTCATATTTTAATGACATACTTGTATTTTGATAACTACCAAAATAAAAGAAACCCTCTCTCCTCTGTAATTGTTCTCATCTTTTGTCTCTTTCCTACTCTCTACATTTATTCACTAAAACTTCAGTGCAAGTGTTTCATTTTCATAGAGTCTTGGCTAAGTCCAAGTATGATAGACAATCCCAGTCACCCCACAGAGAGAAGGCAATTACAGTTTCACTCCCCAGGAGAGGATAATGTTGAATTTCTTTGGGTTCTTTCTTTACTTTCTCTTCCACTCAATGCCACCAGAGGAACGATTAATCTAATTGATAAAATTTGTAAGGCTACCATTCATTTGGTACATTTCTCAGTTGCAGGGTCTACTGTATTAGAAGAAAAGATCCAACTCTCACTCTTAATTTTTTGGTAAATCTGTATCGACCACAATGAGCACACTATTTCAGTATGTTTTTCTTTTTCTTTTCTTTTCTTTCTTCCTTTTTTTTTATTTAAGAAACGTTTTGCTATAGGATGCATGCACTAGCCAGAAAAACAGAGAGACCCAGAGACAGAAAGCAAGAAATCACCCACTCCCCCCACCCCTCGAGGGGAGGATGGCCATGCTGCAATCCCTACTCCTCCATTCTCCTCTTGGAATCTTGGGCACGCATGCACACGCACCTGGTGTGAGTTTAAGCCACCAGGTCCAGGACT